TCGGTCCCATAGAGGATTCAGTCCCATAGGACAGGATTCGAGTCCCACGGAAGGACAAAGGGATTCGGTCCCATAGAAGGGATTCAGAGGACGGAGGGGATCGGTCCCATAGAAGGACCAGAGGGGAATTCGGTTCCATAGAAGGACAGGAGGGATTCACGGTCAGGACGGTCCCCACAGAAGGACGGAGGGATTCCCACGAAGGACAGGAGGTAATTCAGTCCCCACGGAAGGCAGAGGGAATTCGGTCCCACAGAAGGACAGAGGGATTCGGTCCCACAGAAGGGACGGAGGGATTCGGTCCCATAGGGACGGTCCCACGAGGATTCGGTCCCATAGAAGGATTCGGTCCCATAGAAGGACGGAGGGATTCGGTCCCCACGGAAGGACATTCGTATAGAAGGACAGAGGGATTCGGTCCCCACAAGAAGGACAGAGGGATTCGGTCCCATAGACGGGTCCCATAGGAAGGAGTATTCGGTCCCATAGAAGGATGGAGGGATTCGGTCCCGTAGAAGGAAGGGATTCGTCCCCCTTAGAAGAGGGATTCGGTTCCCGTAGAAGGACGGAGGGATTCGGGATTCCATAGAAGGACGGTCCCAAGAGAGGATTCGGTTTTCCATAGAAGGACGGAGAGGGATTCGGTCCCACGGAAAGGACGGAGGGATTCGGTCCCCATAGAAGGACGGAGGGATTCGGTCCCATAGGAAGGACGGTCCGCAGGGATTCGGTCCCATAGAAGGACGGAGGGATTTCGGTCCCATAGAAGGGATTCGGAGGGATTCGGGGATCCCATAGAAAGGACGGAAGGATTCGGTCCCATAGGAAGGACGGAGGGATTTCGGTCCCATAGAAGGACGGAGGGATTCGGTCCCTTACATGGAGGATAGGTCCCAAGACGGAGGGATTCGGTCCCCGGATAGAAGGACAGGAGGGATTCGGTCCCACGGAAGGACGGAGGGATTCGGTCCCACGAGGACGGAGGATTCGGTCCCATAGAAGGACGGAGGGATTCGGTCCCGGACGGACAGAAGGACGAAGACGGAGGGATTCGGTCCCACAGAAGGACGGAGGGATTCGGTCCCACCCATAGAAGGACAGGAGGGATTCGGTCCCCATAGAAAGGACGGAGGGATTCTGTCACATAGAAGGACGGAGGGATTCGTCCCATAGAAGGATTCGGTCCCACGGACGGGGATTCGGTCCCATAGAAGGATTCAGTCCCACGGTAGGAAGGATTCAGTCCCACACGAAGGACGGATTCGGTCCACGGAAGGACGGAGGATTCGGTAGGAAGGACGGAGGGATTCGGTCCCAAGGACGGAGGAGGACGAGGGATTCGGTCCCCGTTCGGTCACTAGAAGGACGGAGGATTCGGTCCCGGAGAAGGGACGGAGGGATTCGGTCCCCACGGAGGACGGAGGGATTCGGTCCCACGGAAGGACGGAGGGATTCGGTCCCACGGACAAGCAGGATTCGTAGAAGGACGGAGGGATTCGAAGGACGGAGGGATTCGGTCCCATAGGAAGGACGGAGGGATTCGGTCCCATAGGAGGACGGAGGGATTCGGTCCCAGGGATTTTCGGTCCCATGAAAGGACGGAGGGATTCGGTCCCATGAAGGACAGAGGGATTCGGTCCCACGGAAGGACGGAGGGATTCGGTCCCATGGAAGGACGGAGGATTCGGTCCCATAGAAGGACAGAGGGATTCGGTCCCACGGAAGGACGGAGGGATTCGGTCCCACGGAGAGGGACGGAGGGATTCGGTCCCATAGAAGGACGGAGGGATTCGGTCCCATAGAAGGATGGACGAGGGATTCGGTCCCATAAGAAGGATTCGGTCCCATGGAAGGACGGAGGGATTCGGTCCCATAGAAGGATGGAGGGATTCGGTCCCATAGAAGGATTCGGTCCCATAGAAGGATTCGGTCCCATAGAAGGATCGGTCCCATAGAAGGACAGAGGGATTCGTCCCATAGAAGGAATTCGGTCCCATAGAAGGATGGAGGGATTCGGTCCCATAGAAGGATTCGGTCCCACAGAAGGACGGAGGGATTTGTTTGTGGCATCCAGTACTGTGCCAGTTGTGGTGCGCACACAGTGGCAGTATTGTCCCCCCCCCCCCCCACACACACACCCGCCTTCCTCTGTGTATTCTCAGATTCTTGGCCTTGAAGCTGATATCTGCGGTGTCACCCCTCCCCCGCAGTAGTCGCTGACGCAGCGGTCCCGAGGAGGATATGCTGATCTGGGACAATGTCTCTGGTTTGGGGTGAAGCAGACGGGGCCACACAAAGGTGGAAATGAAAGTCTGATTTCTGTGTGGGCCCCCGGAGATGGTGCAGACATACAATACGGGGCCCATTGCTGGCAGGAAGATCATCACCCCCCCCCCCCCCCCCCCCCCCCCCCCCCCCCCCCCCCGCATAGCCAATTAGTTCTCTACAATTTATATCAAATGGGAAACATTCAAAATATTGTATCCACTGTACTGAATATTGGGACAGATATCTGACAATAGTGTGTGTGTGTGGGGGGGGGGGGGGATTTTATCTGCCAATACATGAGGCTGACTTATCTGACAATACTTGGGGAAGGGGGGGGGGGGGCTAACATTACTCAGTGAGACTTTTATCTGACATTACTCGAGGGTGTTATCTGACAATACTTGGGGGGGACTTTTATCTGACAATACTCAGGGAGGGGGAGTTATCTGACAATACTCAGGGGGGGGGGGGGGGTTATCTGACAATACTCAGGGAAGGGGGGGGGGGGGGTTATCTGACAATACTCAGGGAAGGGGGGGACAATACTCAGGTTATCTGACAATACTCAGGGAAGGGGGGGGGTTATCTGACAATACTCAGGGAAGGGGGGGGTTATCTGACAATACTCAGGGAGGGGGGGGGGTTATCTGACAATACTCAGGGAAGGGGGGGGTTTATCTGACAATACTCAGGGAAGGGGGGGGGGGGTTATCTGACAATACTCAGGGAAGGGGGGGGTTATCTGACAATACTCAGGGAGGGGGAGTTATCTGACAATACTCAGGGAGGGAGGGAGTTATCTGACAATACTCAGGGAGGGGGAGTTTATCTGACAATACTCAGGGAGGGGGGGGGGAGTTATCTGACAATACTCAGGGAGGGGGGGTATCTGACAATACTCAGGGAGGGGGGTTATCTGACAATACTCAGGGAGGGGGGGGAGTTATCTGACAATACTCAGGGAGGGGGGGGTATCTGACAATACTCAGGGAGGGGGGTATCTGACAATACTCAGGGAGGGGGGGTTATCTGACAATACTCAGGGAGGGGGTATCTGACAATACTCAGGGAGGGGGGTTATCTGACAATACTCAGGAAGGGGGGGTTATCTGACAATACTCAGGGAGGGGGGGGACAATACTCAGGGAGGGGGTTATCTGACAATACTCAGGGAGGGGGGTATCTGACAATACTCAGGGAGGGGGGTTATCTGACAATACTCAGGGAGGGGGGGTTATCTGACAATACTCAGGGAGGGGGGGTTATCTGACAATACTCAGGAAAGGGGGGTTATCTGACAATACTCAGGGAGGGGGGGGGGGGGAGTATCTGACAATACTCAGGGAGGGGGAGGAAGGGGGGTTATCTGACAATACTCAGGGAGGGGGGTTATCTGACAATACTCAGGGAAGGGGGGTTATCTGACAATACTCAGGGAAGGGGGGTTATCTGACAATACTCAGGGAAGGGGGGTTATCTGACAATACTCAGGGAAGGGGGGTTATCTGACAATACTCAGGGAAGGGGGGTTATCTGACAATACTCAGGGAGGGGAGTTATCTGACAATACTCAGGGAAGGGGGGTTATCTGACAATACTCAGGGAAGGGGGGTTATCTGACAATACTCAGGGAAGGGGGGGTTATCTGACAATACTCAGGGAGGGGGGTTTATCTGACAATACTCAGGGAGGGGGAGTTATCTGACAATACTCAGGGAGGGGGAGTTATCTGACAATACTCAGGGAGGGGGGTTATCTGACAATACTCAGGGAGGGGGGTATCTGTTACTCAGGGAGGGGGGTTATCTGACAATACTCAGGGAGGGGGGGGGGAGGGGGGTTATCTGACAATACTCAGGGAGGGGGGTTATCTGACAATACTCAGGGAGGGGGGTTATCTGACAATACTCAGTGGGACTTTTATCTGACAATACTCAGTGGGACTTTTATCTGACAATACACGGGTGTCATCTGCCATGACATCTCCTTCCTGCACACAGTCACTTCCATCTTATACAGAGAGTCATCTCCATCCTGCATATAATCTCCATGTCATCTCCATCCTGTACACAGTCATCTCCATCCTGTGCACACAGTCATCTCCATCCTACACATAGTAATCATGTCATCTCCATCCTTCACACAGAGTCATCTCCATCCTGTCATCTCCATCTCTCCTGTACACAGAGGCATCTCCATCCTGTCATCTCCATCCTGCACACCACATTCTGCATTATGTAAGTCATCTCAGGCTCTATTTAACCACACCCCCTTTAAGCCACGCCCACCAGTTAATGTACTGTAAAATTAGCATGCTTAGTGTGCCGCATTATTATTTTTGTTGCTTCTTGTAGAATATCACTTCCTCAGCCCCCCAGTCAGGGGGGAGGTACAAGTAGCTGGTCTTGCCTAGGGCGCAAAATAGTCTAGCATCGGCCCTAGCCTGTGCACCACCAGGGGCGGACTGACCATTTGGAAACACGGGCACTGCCCGAGGGCCCAGGGTCAGCAGGGGGCCCCATGAGATGCCCCTGGTACCTTTTTCATAGGCTTTTTTGAGTTTGGCCAAGGACACAGGGGCCCCATGATCCCCTATTGCCCAGGGGCCCCATGAGTTGTCAGTCCACCCCTGTGCACCACCATCAATAAGTCCCGCCTCTGTGTACATCCAGGTTATGATGGGTAAGGACCCCCCTGATGAAGCTGTGACCCCAAAATACCTTCACACTTACCGTATCTTTGGCTCTGGATGGAGTATTCATAGTGGCAGCAGTTGCTCTTGCGCTCCCCATTGACGGTGACGTTTATAAGGAAGTGGGCGGGGTTGCAGCTCTGTGTTGGGCGTGGCTTAGAAGTATCTGTGTTTCTCGGAGATGGATTGCTGGGGATCAATTTGTGATTTTTGATCCCGTAGGTAAAGTTCAGAATATGGAGGCCGGGAATCCAGTGCACACAGAACAAGTACGGCCCCAGATGACCCGGCAGAGTGAAGTTACAAGAGGATAGGAAAGGGGCGGAGACAGTCAGTTCCTCCGCGGAGTTCTCCACTCTCACCACATTGTCCGGAGAATCGCCATTACATCGCAGAATGCTGTTCTCTGACTGATTCCTCCATCCACACAGAGAGAAGCCCCCGACACTGCACAGGAGGCCTGCGGAGAGAAAACGGATCATTATGACATGGTCATCCATTACCTGAAGTGGACCTATCCCCCAATCTATAGGATCTTTATACAGTACAATTACATGGACCATGATGTACAATCTATAGGGCCACACTGGTCCCTATATAGTAAAATCACACAGACCATGTACAATCTATAGGGCCACAGTGGTTCCTATACAATACAATGACACAGACCATGTACAATCTATAGGGCCACAGTGGTCTCTATACAATACAATGACACAGACCATGTACAATCTATAGGGCCACAGTGGTTCCTATACAATACAATGACACAGACCATGTACAATCTATAGGGCCACAGTGGTCTCTATACAATACAATGACACAGACCATGTACAATCTATAGGGCCACAGTGGTTCCTATACAATACAATGACACAGACCATATACAATCTATAGGGCCACAGTGGTTCCTATACAGTAAGATCACACAGACCATATACAATCTATAGGGCCACAGTGGTTCCTATACAGTAAGATCACACAGACCATGTACAATCTATAGGGCCACAATGGTCCTTATACAATACAATGACACAGACCATATACAATCTATAGAACCACAGTGGTCTCTATACAATACAAAGACACAGACCATATACAATGTATAGGGCCACAGTGGTTCCTATACAGTAAGATCACACAGACCATATACAATGTATAGGGCCACAGTGGTTCCTATACAGTAAGATCACACAGACCATATATACAATGTATAGAGCCACAGTGGTTCCTATACAGTAAGATCACACAGACCATATACTATGTATAGAGCCACAGTGGTTCCTATACAGTAAGATCACACAGACCATATACAATCTATAGAGCCACAGTGGTCTCTATACAATATGATGACACAAACCATGTACAATCTATAGGGCCACACCGGGCAGCACAGCGGCTAAATGGTTAGCTCTTCCACCTGGCAGTACTAGGGTTGTTGGTTCAATTCAACCACCGCACCACCTGCCTGGAGTTTGCATGTTCTCCCTGTGCCTGCGTGGGTTTACTTTGGGTCCTCCGGTTTCCTCCCACATTCCAAAGACACGCTGGTAGGTTAATTGGATCCTGTCTAAATTGTCCCTAGTATGTGTATGAATGTGAATTATTGACCTTAGATTGTACGCCCCTTGAGGGTTAGGGACTGATATGAATATACAATATATATATGTAAAGCGCTGCGTAAAATGATGGCGCTATATAAGTACATGAAATAAATAAAAAATAATAAAAGAAAAAAATACAATGACACTGACCATGTACAATCTATAGGTCCACACTGGTCTCTATACAATATGATGACACAGACGATGTACAATCTATAGGTCCACACTGGTCATCCAATGACACTGACCGTGTACAATCTATAGATCCACACTGGTCATACAATGACACTGACCGTGTACAATCTATAGGTCCACACTGGTCATACAATGACACTGATCATGTACAATCTATAGGTCCACACTGGTCATACAATGACACTGATCATGTACAATCTATAGGTCCACACTGGTCATCCAATGGTCATCTGAGACACATTCTGCCTTACAGTGAATATCATACAAGAATGCTCCCTGCCATATTGTTACCATATTGTATAGAGACCAGTGTGGATCTATAGATTGTACATGATCAGTGTCATTGTATGACCAGTGTGGACCTATAGATTGTACATGATCAGTGTCATTGTATGACCAGTGTGGACCTATAGATTGTACATGATCAGTGTCATTGTATGACCAGTGTGGACCTATAGATTGTACATGATCAGTGTCATTGTATGACCAGTGTGGACCTATAGATTGTACACGGTCAGTGTCATTGTATGACCAGTGTGGACCTATAGATTGTACACGGTCAGTGGCATTGGATGACCAGTGTGGACCTATAGATTGTATATCGTCTGTGTCATCATATGTATAGAGACCAGTGTGGACCTATAGATGAACATAATCTGTGTTACCATATTGTATAGAGACCAGTGTGGACCTATAGATTGTACACGGTCAGTGTCATTGGATGACCAGTGTGGACCTATAGATTGTACACGGTCAGTGTCATTGGATGTCAGTGTGGACCTATAGATTGTACACGGTCGGTGTCATTGGATGACCAGTGTGGACCTATAGATTGTACATGGTCAGTGGCATTGGATGACCAGTGTGGACCTATAGATTGTACACGGTCAGTGTCATTGGATGACCAGTGTGGACCTATAGATTGTACATGGTCGGTGTCATTGGATGACCAGTGTGGACCTATAGATTGTACATGGTCAGTGGCATTGGATGACCAGTGTGGACCTATAGATTGTACATGGTCAGTGTCATTGTATCACCAGTGTGGATCTGGTTGGGTGGATAAGGCGCGGTGAACAGTTGGTTGGACATTCTTCAAAATATTACAGATGGAGACTAACATCCCGAGGATCCTCCTGATCTCCCACTGTTCCCTACATTGACTGACTGGGGACTGAACTCTGTGTGCATGTCTATGGTGAACATGATTCATCTCACATGTTGCGTAGCGGCAACATTGACACATCCTGAGACTTTGCCGCACACCACAAGACTGAGCAATACACAGACTGGGGGGGGAGGCAAGGCAGCTGATTTTCTGAACCCTTTTCCATTTTTGATTGCAAGCTCTGATGATCATCATTCCGTCACCTTCTGTATGTTCATTTCATACACTGCTACAGAATATGGTGGAGCTATAGGAAGAAAATCTAATAAAAATCATCTTAAAGAAATGTTCTTTTTCTAACTAGAATTCTGTGGTTTCCCAGGCAGACAGGAAACTTCCACTTACAAGGATCCTCATCCATAGGACTCCAGCATGTACTGAAGCGGAGTCCTGCCTTGGCCACTCATTGCTGGGGCTAAAGGTTCCTTACATGTCACCCCATAACTAACAAAAACCTAACTAACCCCCCATTTTCCCCCTCCCCCACAGGATTGTACAGGGGGTCCGGCCTCAGAAATGGGATTAGAAAAGCAGCAAATCTTCAAAATCCTAACTGACTCAATTCAGAATATTCCGGATTCCAAATTTCCTCATCAGAAGATTAAATAAAGCAATTAAAAGTCAGCTAGACGTCATCTGTGATGGGAAAGAAATTTCATTGCTCAGGTAAGTGACTTCATCGGTTCATTCAATCTGTGGAACAGAATCCATAGACACACTGAAAACCCAATTACCTTCTCCGATCACCCTCTTCCAATCACCTTCATCTAATCAACCTCATGCAATTCCCTTCATCCAATCACCTTCTATTATCTGCATCCATTCACCCTCATCCAACCACCTTTATTTAAACTTTCACTCCAATCACATTTTTGCAATTACCTTCTAATCACCTTCATCTAAATTCCTTCTCCGATCGCCTTCATCCAATCACCATAATGTCATAATTGTGTCAAGGCAGATGTTGACTGCTCAAGACATGGCTGAAGGTGGAATAAAAGGATGATTGAATAATGGTGACTGAAAAAAAGCTGGACGAAGGCAATCAGAAGTAGGTGACTGGGTGAAAATGGTTGAAAGAAGGTGATTAGATGAAGGTGATTGGATGGAGGTGACTGGAAGAAGATGATGAAGGCAATTGGAAGAAGGTGACTGGATTGAGGTGACTGGGTGAAGGCGATAGTGTTTCCCATGTGGCTATAAATGGTGGGGATTCTCCTGATTCTCACTTTAACTGGCAAAGCCATTTGAACCAGTGACACATCTTTAAGATTTACCAATTCAGCTAAATGTTACTAATACTAGTTAGCTCATGACCACTACTACTAGTTATGCTGTTACCCACACTATTGGTTATACCATGATCAATACTACTAGTCAGACTGTTACCCACACTATTGGTTTTACCATGATCAATACACTAGTCAGACTGTTACCCACACTATTGATTATACCATCAATACTACTAGTCATCCCGTTACCCACACTATTAGTTATACCATAAATACTACTAGTTATGCTGTTACCCACACTATTGGTTATACCATGACCAATACTACTAGTCAGACTGTTACCCACACTATTGGTTATACCATGATCAATACTACTAGTCATCCCGTTACCCACACTATTAGTTATACCATCAATACTACTAGTTATGCTGTTTACCCACACTATTAGTTATACCATGATCAATACTACTAGTCATCCTGTTACCCACACTATTAGTTATACCATCAATACTGCTAGTTATGCTGTTACGCACACTATTTGTATACCATCAATACTACTAGCTATGCTGTTACCCACACTGTTCCTTATACCATGACCAATCCTACTAGTTATCCTGTTACCCACACTATTAGTTATACCATCAATACTACTAGTCATCCTGTTACCCACACTGTTCCTTATACCATGACCAATCCTACTAGTTATCCTGTTACCCACACTATTAGTTATACCATCAATACTACTAGTTATCCTGTTACCCACACTATTAGTTATACCATCAATACTACTAGTACCACACTATTTGTTATACCATGACCAATACTACTAGTTATCCTGTTACCCACAGTATTAGTTATACCATCAATACTACTAGTTATCCTGTTACCCACACTATTAGTTACACCATGACCAATACTACTACTGTATCCTGTTACCCACACTATTAGTTATACCATCAGTACTACTAGTTATCCTGTTTTCCACACTATTAGTTATACCATGATCAATACTACTAGTTATCCTGTTACCCACACTATTAGTTACACCATGACCAATACTACTAGGTTATCCTGTTACCCACACTATTAGTTATACCATCAATACTACTAGTTATCCTGTTTTCCCACACTATTAGTTATACCATGACCAATACTACTAGGTATCCTGTTACCCCACACTATTAGTTATACCATCAATACTGCTAGTTATCCTGTTTTCCACACTATTAGTTATACCATGACCAATACTACTATTCATCCCATGGCCACAACTACTAGCTATTCCATTGCCAAAGCTGCTAGTTATCCTGTGATCACTGCTATTAAATATTCTGTTATCAATACTACTAGTTATATCATGACAACTACTACTAGTTATCCTGTTACCAATTTTACCAGCTACAGGATAACAACTCTACTAGTTATCCTGTTACAAAGACTACCAGCTACATGATGACAACTACTACTAGTTATCCTGTTACAAATACTACTAGTTATATCATGATCTGGGTAAATGCAAGCCTTCACAGATATGATATAAAAAATGTAAAATGTTATGTATAGGTGGAGTTAAAACTTCTTTTTGTAGCGTAGGTAAAGCAGTAAGGAGAGGCTACAACCCCTGTCAGGTTTTTACGGTTGTCTGTGTCCCCAATGTATAGAATCACCCTCTTTATTTGTTCTGGTAAACATTGTTTGAAATGAAAGAGATGGAAAATCTACATTTTTGAGTTGTCACCAGAAGAAGTGAAGGGAAATCTCTCCAATCTGAGGAAGGTTCAACCATTCCCTATTATTCCCCACCACTCTCCACCTTTCCTCTCCATTCGCCACGATTTCCTGACAATACTGTCCATTCCCCGCCATTCTCTACTCTACATAAATCTTAAGGAAACAAGTTTGGGCTTTAGATCTAATTTCTAAGAAAAGTAAAGAGGAACAGAGCTGAGCTGCTGGCAATTTGCCCATTTCCCTGGAAATAGCAGATCATTTTCTACACAGAAGACTGAAGCACTGGCATGCTGGAACGTGCAGAGAGCTAACATCATATATGTGACATCACCTGCAAACTTCTGACCTGAGGAACACGAAACACTGCTCCACCTGTTGGAGTACAACCCAGCACACACCTTCCTCCATACATATCACACATGAGAACCCGGAACCCCACTTCTCTTGTCAGGATACAGCCCAACACATACTTTCCCCCACACATATCACACATGAGGAACCCGGAACCCCACTTCTCTTGTCAGGATACAGCCCAACACATACCTTCCCCCACACATATCCACATGAGGAACCCGGAACCCCACTTCTCTTGTCAGGATACAGCCCAACACACACCTTCCCAGGGGCGGACTGACCATTTGGAAACTCGGGCACTGCCCGAGGGCCTGGGGTCAGTAGGGGGCCCCATGAGATGCCCCTGGTACCTTTTTCATAGGCTTTTTTGAGTTTGGGCAAGGACAGAGGGGCCCCATGATCCCCTATTGCCTGGGAGCTCCATGAGTTGTCAGTCTGCCCCTGCACCTTCCTCCACACATGTCACACATGAAGAACCCGGAACGCTGCTCCACCTGTTGAAGTACAACTCAACACACACCTTCCCCGAATTAGTATATCACACATGAGGAACCCGGAATCCCATTTCTCCTGTCAGGGTACAGCCCAATGCACACCTTCTTCTACACATATTACACATGAAGAAACCAGAACCTCACTTCCCCTGTTGGAATACAACCCAACACACACCCTTCCCCCACACATCACACATGAGGAAGCTGGAACCCTGTTTCACCTGTTGAGGTATAATCCAACACACTCCTTCCTTCACTTAGTATATCACACCTGAGGAACCTGGAACCCTGCTTCGTTTGTCGGGGTACAACCCAATACACACATGAAGAACCTGGAACCCTACTGCACCTCCCGAAGTACAACCCAACACACACCCTTCCCCCACAAATCACACATGAGGAAGTTGGAACCCTATTTAACCTGCTGAGGTACAACCCAACACACACCTTCCTTCATTTAATATATCACACACGAGGAACCTGGAACCCTGCTTCGCTTAATACACACATGAAGAACCTGGAACCCTACTGCACCTCCCAAGTACAACCCAACACACACCTTCCCCCACACATCACACATGAGGAAGTTGGAACCCCGTTTCATTTAACCTGTTGAGGTACAACCCAACACACACCTTCCTTCACTTTTAATATATCACACACTGAGGAACCTGGAACCCTGCTTCGCTTGTCGGGGTACAACCCAATACACACATGAAGAACCTGGAACCCTACTGCACCTCCTGAAGTACACAACCCAACACACACCTTCCCCAACAAATCACACATGAGGAAGTTGGAACCCTATTTAACCTGCTGAGGTACAACCCAACACACACCTTCCTTCACTTAGTATATCACACATGAGGAACCTGAAACCCTGCTTCGCTTGTCGGGGTAGAACCCAACACACACAAGGAACCTGGAACCCTACTGCACCTCCCAGAGTACAAAACCAACACACACCTTCCCCACACACCTCACACATGAGGAAGCTGGAACCCCATTTCACCTGTTGAGGTACAACCCAACACACACCTTCCTTCACTTAGTATATCACACATGAGGAACCTGGAACCCTGCTTCGTTTGTTAGAAGCAAAGGTAAAATATATATATATATATATATATATATATATATATACACACCACAAACACAACATACTGCACATGCATAGTACAACACAGATACAACATACTGCACAGATGCACAGGGACATACCACAGACACAAATACTTCACACAGACGCAAGTCTTAACACGGGAAGAGCAATTTTCAGAGTCAGATGCAGAGTGTGGGACTCATTATGAAAGCTCCCCACGGGAACAATGACAATGCTGTGTATACAGAGGACTCTCAGTTGGTATCAGCCGGCATTGTGCAGCTCTCAGGGTTTTCTTGTACTCGGCAGAAATGACTTTATGTCTGGAGGAACTATTCATTGAAAGAGCAAATCTAACATAATATTACACAGCACAGCATGGTACGACACCACAAAACAGAACAAAGTATAATACAACAAGACACAACATTATACAGCACAGCATGGTACGATACTACAAAACACAACAAAGTATAATGCAACAAAATACAGCACAGCATGGTACGAGACTACAAAACACAACAAAGTATAATTCAATAAAACACAACATTTTACAGCACAGCATGGTACAATACTACAAAACACAACAAAGTATAGCATAAAAACCACATCGTTACACAGCACTGCATAGTGTGACACTACAAAACACGACAAAGTATAATACAACAAATCACAATAAAATACAGCACAGCATGGTATGACATTACAAAACACAACAAAGTATAATGCAACAAAATACAGCACAGCATGGTACGAGACTACAAAACACAACAAAGTATAATACAACACAAATTTTACAGCACAGCATGGTACGAGACTACAAAACACAACAAAGTATTCATAAAAACATATCATTTTACTGCACAACATAGTACTATACTGCAAAACACAACAAAGTATAATGCATAAAAAACATAACATTACACAGCACTGCATAGTGCTACACAACAAAACACGACAAAGTATAATGCAACAAAAACACAACAAAATACAGCACAGCATGGTACGAGACTACAAAACACAACAAAGTATAATGCAACAAAACACAACAAAATACAGCACAGCATGGTACGAGACTACAAAACACAACAAAGTATAATTCAATAAAAACACAACATTTTACTGCACAACATGGTACAATACTACAAAACACAACAAAGTTTTGCATAAAAAACACATCATTACACAGCACTGCATAGTGCGATACTACAAAACACGACAAAGCATAATACAACAAATCACAACATAATACAGCATAGGAAAAAAACACACCAAACAAGCTGGCACAATATAACACAGCGTGATACAAAAACACAACAAAGTATAACACAACACTATACAACCTAAACATAGTATTACCATACAACAAAACATAACACAACACAATACAATATAAACATGAGATAACTATACAACAAAACATGACACAGCATAGTATAAACCCAATAAATAAGATGCACAATATAACACAGCATGAGATAATAGAATTATAGCAGACAATGACTCTATACAGTACAACATAAGACCACAGAGATCTTAGCACAAGACACCACCACATCAGTGCACAATACGATGACACCATCGCCTTTATATTCTACTGGGGGGGGGGGCAATTCTCTAATTTGTAGACTGAAACCCCAACAATTCCTACATACATTTTATACATTTTTTACCTAGAAAATAAAATCAAAAGTACAAAAGTTGTGTGTTACAACCAGCAATCAGAGTGTGTATGTGTGTCTTTTAGTTTACGGTTATTATCCCAGAATCTGCATGCTTTACTAATACAATTTATGATATGTAACATGTTTTATACAATATAAATCTTCTACAATAACACAAGGAAACTTCTTCAGACAACAAATATCCCAATCCATCACATACAGTATATATAACACCAGATGGAACGTACACACTTATATAGAACACATAATGCATTACACACACATATCTATATCTATATATATATATATATATATATATATATATATATATGCACACTAGATATATTAGGTGGTGTGGAGTGCCAAATCCAGAAATAACACAAATCCACAAATTTTAATTTTTTGCACACAGATTTTTAAGGTTCCACGAGGAAAAGCCTTGAATAACTTAACTTTAATTTACACGGATTTATTTCATTTTACATATAAAATCAATTGACATAAAATGTGAGTCCTTTGATAGTTTTATGATGTTTTATGTCAATTGACTTTTAATGTAGAATTATTAGTAGTTATTTAAGGCTTTTCCTTGTAGTGCCTTAAAAATCTGTGTGAAAAAATGTGGAATCTTTGGCATCATTATATATATATATCCCAGTAACAGGTGATAGGTGACTTCATGGTAGTTCCAGGAAGGGGTGGCGGGGATCCTGGGATCACCTACCCCCAAGGTGGAGCAGCAGGTGGAGGGGAACTGACTGACCTTTGAGCAGGAGCAGTGTCAGCAGAGCGGTCATGATGAGTCCAGGCTGAGAGTCTGCAGAAGGAGAAATGAAGCTTGTTAGTGTTTGCAGGAGGGGGAGTGTGCCCGCTTGAAACAATTCATTACACACTGTCACCACAAGAGGGAATCCACACACACATCATCCAGCACAGAAGGGGTTACAGGAGTCTCTGGCAAGGAAGGGGTTATGGATGTCCTTTTGGCAGGGAAGAGATTATATTAGTCTCTGGAAAGGAAGGGGTTACAGGTTATGGATGTCCCTTTGGCAGGGAAGGGGTTATGGGAGTCTCTGGCAGGAAAGGGGTTACAGGAGTCTCTGGCAAGGAAAGGATTATGGGAGTCTTTGGCAAGGAAGGGGTTACAGGAGTCTCTGGCAGGGAAGGGGTTATGGGAGCCTCTGGCAGGGAAGGGGTTACAGGAATCTGTGGCACAGAAGGGTTTACAGGAGTCTCTGGCAAGGAAAGGATTATGGGAGTCTCTGGCAGGTAAGAAGTTATGGGAGCCTCTGGCAGGGAAAGGGTTACAAGTGTCCCTTTGGCTGGGAAGGGGTTACAGGTGTCTCTGGCAAGGAATGGATTATGAGAGTCTTTGGCAAGGAATGGATTATGGGAGTCTTTGGCAGAGAAGGGGTTATGGGAGCCTCTGGCAGGAAAGGGGTTACGAGAGTCTGTGGCATGGAAGGGGTTACAGGAGTCTCTGGCAAGGAAAGGATTATGGGAGTCTCTGGCAGGGAAGGGGTTACAAGTGTCCCCTTGGCTGGGAAGGTGTCTCTGGCATGAAAGGGGTTACAAAATCTTTGGCAGGGAAAGGGTTATGAGTGTCCCCTTGGCAGGAAAAGGGTTAAATTAGTCTCTGGCAGGGAAGGGGTTACAGGAAGCACCAGGTACAATGTACACTGTAAGAGTCTCTTTGTCCTTGGCAGACATTGTTTGCTATTGTCTGGGCAGGTTCCGGTGGAGCTCCGCCCCCTCAGGTGTATGATTACAGGTAATAATGGATTATGGAATCCTCCTCGAGGCCTCTATGAGAGCCGTGTACAGAGCGTGTCATATGATCCCTCTGAGTACACGTCTCCGACTACTGAAAAATAAGAAACCTTGACAATGTTATTAATGAAACAGAGAACAGAAAAGGTGCCAACCATAGTCCCACCTGGCTACTGTCTGTCCCTGTCATGGGAAAACTCACTGCGCCCATCTCACCATGCACTGCCATGTGCCCTCAACTCCTCATGATGTCACCAAACGTTCCCTCCTGGACCACTACCAGTATGACCAGTGTCATGTTCTATGACATCACCAGAACGTCCCTTTCCCTGCCACTACCAGAATGACAGGTGGCACTTCCCATGATGTCACTAGAACCTCCCTTCCTGACCCACTACCAGAATCACCGGTGTCACTTCCCATGATGTCACTAGAACCTCCCTTCCTGACCCACTACCAGAATCACCGGTGTCACTTCCCATGATGTCAGCAAATGTCTCCCACTGGATCACTACCAGAATCACCAGTGTCACTTCCCATGATGTCACCAAATGTCTCTTTCTGGACCACTATCAGAATTACCTGTGTCACTTCCCATGATGTTACCAAAAAGTTTCTTAATGTCCCACTACTAGGATCACTGGTGTCATTTCCCATTATGTCACCAGAACCCCCCTTCCTAGGCCAGAATCACCAATGTCACTTCCCATGATGTCACCAGATGTCTCTTCCTGGACCACTGCCAGAATCACCGGTGTCACTTCTGATGATGTTACCAAAAGGTCCCTTCTTGTGCCACTACCAGAATCACTGGTGTCATTTCCCATTATGTCACCAGAACCCCTCTTCCTAGTCCAGAATCACCAGTGTCACTTCCCATGATGTCACCAAACATCCCTTCCTGGACCACTGCCAGAATCACCAGTGTCACTTCCCATGATGTTACCAAAAGGTCCCTTCTTGTGCCACTACCAGAATCACTGGTGTCATTTCCCATTATGTCACCAGAACTTCCCTCCCTAGGCCACTACCAGAATCACCAGTGTCACCTCTCATGATGTCACTAGAACGTGCCTTCGAGAGCCACTACCAGAATCACCAGTATCAATTCCCATGATTTCATCAAAGGCCCCTTCCTGAGCCACTACCAGAATTACCAGTGTCACTTCTCATGATGTCACCAGAACGTACCTTCGAGAGCCACTACCAGAATCACCAGTATCAATTCCCATGATGTCACCAAATGTCCCTTCCTGGGCCACTACCAGAATTACCAGTGTCACTTCCCATGATGTTACCAAAAGGTCCCTTCCTTTGTCCCTACAAGAATCACCAGTGTCACTTCCCATGATGTCACCAGAAGGTACCTTTGTGGGTCACTACCAGAATCATCGGTGTCACTTCCCACGATGTCAGCAGAATCTAACTTCCTTGGCCACTACCAGAATCACTAATGTCCCTTCCCATGATGTCATCAGAACATTCTTTTTTTAGGCCACTACCAGAATCACCAGTGTCACTTACTGTCACAGAAGGGCCTACCTTTACCCTCACCTGGAAATATGAATTTCCATTTTTGTACCACATGGTGAGTCTTATAGATCTCCATCTTATTTCATTGGACACACTCTTGACTCCCCAGAAACTTCCACAGCTGTGGTGTCCTCCAGAAGGTGATATCTGTAATTACTCTACAATGCTTGGCCTCTGTCCTCCCTTTGTAGTGTGTAGCTGAGGTCCTGTTCTATGAATCTCTCTTCAATTAGAAGAAAGGGTGCCAATACCGAGGTGGAGAAGGAGTTCTAGAGAGGATGCCAGGAGAATAAGCTCTCCTTTGAGGTTGGGTTCCAATAGGCCTACCAAGAGAGTGAAAAGTTGAAGTCCTCTCTCCTGGGGCAAACAAGGGGCAGCAAGGGACTTCTGGGTAAAAATGGAGACTGGTGATTGGATTACAGAGAAAGCACTGACCGGGGTCCAGCTCGATTATATTAATCAAAACCTGTTACCTAATTTTTTAAAGTTCAATAAAAGAAGAAAATTATTTGAGTGTCACATTGTTCCCTCGGTGATACAGAAGTGCAGGTCAGGCATAAATGGTACTTGAGATAATGGAAGATGAGGTAAGGGACCTCCAGAGTCATACCAGATGAAGAGATTGGGGGCCTAGTATCAGCAATGCAAATAGACCTGGGACATGGGCCAACGTGGAGGTCTCTGTATTTTTTCCCTTCAGGTACCATTTTGGGGTCTCCAGTACCGGCGGTCTCTCTGTATTTCCTCCCTCCATAAACCATCCTGGGGTCTCTAGTACTGGGAGTCTCTTTGTATTTTCTCCCTCCATTTACCATGCCGGAGTCTCTAGTACTGGGGGTCTCTCTGTATTTCTTCCACCATGTACCATCCTGGGGTCTCCAGTACTGGGGGGTCTCTCTGTATATCTTTCCACCATGTACCATCCTGGGGTCTCCAGTACTGGAGGTCTCTCTGTATATCTTTCCACCATGTACCATACTGGGGTCTCCAGTACTGGGGGGTCTCTCTGTATATCTTTCCACCATGTACCATCCTGGGGTCTCCAGTACTGGGAGTCTCTCTGTATATCTTTCCACCATGTACCATACTGGGGTCTCCAGTACTGGGGGGTCTCTCTGTATATCTTTCCACCATGTACCATCCTGGGGTCTCCAGTACTGGGGGTCTCTCTGTATTTCTTCCACCATGTACCATCCTGGGGTCTCCAGTACTGGAGGTCTCTCTGTATATCTTTCCACCATGTACCATCCTGGGGTCTCCAGTACTGGGGGGTCTCTCTGTATATCTTTCCACCATGTACCATCCTGGGGTCTCCAGTACTGGGGGTCTCTCTGTATATCTTTCCACCATGTACCATCCTGGGGTATACAGTACTTGGGGTCTCTCTGTATTTCTTCCACCATGTACCATCCTGGGGTCTCCATTACTGGGGGTCTCTCTGTATATCTTTCCACCATGTACCATCCTGGGGTATACAGTACTGGGGGTCTCTCTGTATATCTTTCCACCATGTACCATCCTGGGGTCTCCAGTACTGGGGGTCACTCTGTATATCTTTCCACCATGTACCATCCTGGGGTATACAGTACTTGGGGTCTCTCTGTATTTCTTCCACCATGTACCATCCTGGGGTCTCCAGTACTGGAGGTCTTTCTGTATTTCTCTCTCCATGTACCATCCTGGGGTCTCCAGTACTGGGGGTCTCTCTGTTACCTAAATACTACAATAAAACAGAAGGGGCCTCATGGCAGCAGCTGCAGCCATTTGCTCCCTAGACAATCCACATGATGCATGTGTGCAATGTCCAGAATTCCTGAAATGAGGACCAGGACAACATAAGCCCTGCCCCAATTCCTCTGGACACACCCACTGATATATTTTCAGACACAAAATTTGTGAAGAATGAAGTGAATGAGGAAACATCAAAACGCAGCTCTGACATCCTCCTCATTGCAACAGCCTGACGGCGTCTGTGGATCACTTCCCTTCACTGTCACCACAGTATTAGAGAGGAAGCTCTTTGGGACAGTCTTCACATTCCTGGAGGGTTAGGTTCATGTTATAATGTCATTATTATACTGTAACACTGTACACCCAACACACTCTACACCAAGTGCAATCTGTACACACAGCACAGCACACACTCTACACCCAGTGCAATCTGTACACCCAGTGCAATCTGTACACCCAGCACAGCACACACTCTACACCCAGTGCAATCTGTACACCCAGCACAGCACAAACTGTACACTGAGCACCATCCATAGGCCCAGCACAACGTATACTCTACACCTGGCACAGCACATACTCTACACCCAGCACAATATGTATACCCAACACAGCACATACTCTACACCCAGCACAATCTGTATACCCAGCACAGCACATACTCTACACTGAGCACCATCCATAGGCCCAGTACAGCGTATACTCTACACCTGGCACAGCACACATTCTACACCCAGCACAATCTGTACACCCAGCAAAGCACAAA